CCCCAAAACCCCAAAACCCCAAAACCCCATACCTTAAATCTAATGTTGAATGTTAAAACTCAATACAGCATATAAATGGAGTTTAGTGTATGAGGAACTGAGTATTTTATATACTCGTGGTGGTATCTATCACTTAATTGCTAATTTATATCATAAGAAGTTAGCTTTGTGATGATCCTTGCAATATATTGAGACTCATTCATGATGTTTTTAGTCATCAGACATCCTAACTTGTCATAGGTTAGGTTGATCATTTTGTTAGAAATATGTAGAAAATTATCATAATGTTTCTCCTAAAATATAAAGTAAAATTTCTTTACTTTCTCCAAGAGAATGCTTCAAATTTTATACTAATACTGATTAGATATCAACTGAAATGAAAAGTTAAAATATTCAGCAAAATTTAAGTTAAATTGACAACAATTTTCTTCTTTGCTATTACCAGAGCTCCAATCTCCGCAAGATATGTCATCTCCAACTTCTCTATCATAAAGATCGGCCCTCATCCAATTGCCAGAATTATGATATCTATAAAAAATTATAAAAGAAAAGACACCTAACAGATCCTATAACATCGAATGCTAACTTGCTTTCATTACTCTCAAAGGAAGCAATAAAAATCCTCTGTTTCCTTACCTGCTGCCAAGATTCTTTGGCATTGATGAATCCTGCTCAGAGCAAATCCTGTCGCTACTATTGGGCCTATTATTCATAAGAAATGTATACATCAAGGCTTGTGTTAACACCCTTAGGAGTATGTCTTGAGTTATAAATTTACTACTCGATTCATAATATCGATGACGCCATTTTTAAGGCAAAATATTCATTAAAATTCTTAACAAGTTAGGAGGAGTACTTCCTGAAGGATTCTTGTGAGGAAGAATTTTGGCTGATAAAAGGGAGTCAGCGGAGCTGAAGGGATTTTATGAGTGGTAGAAATAGGCGGTTTAGGAGTGTATTTAGTAAGATCCTAGTAGAAGTCAGGGATTGGTTAATATCTGTGGTAAGACTTGAAGAGTTTTAGTAGGACTCCAATAGGTTTTAGAGGGGTTAATGGACTTAAGTTGCAGTGTTTCAAAATATTCATGGTCTTAAGCCAGAGTCATGGCTAAGGATGACTCATCATAAAATACTGAACTGCAGAAATGGCTTTTTCAGCATTCAGAATGAAACTAAAGTTTGTTTTTGATATCGATGAAAGCCAATAAATACCTCCTAGCAATAATCCTAGAGGTTATTTAGCCTTAGCAAGGCTAAACCTACCACTCTTTTCTAAAGAGGTTTATCTTATTTTTCAGTAAAACTTTTATTTATTAATAAAATGGAGCACAAACTGTTTTAGATGCTAAAGAAGAATCGATCGTGACTTACCCTGAAAATGAATTAATTTTTATACAAAATTATGGAAAATTAGAAGATGATAAGCTCCATTTTTCATTGTCATGAGGCAAAGTCAGCCGAGTAGAACAGAATTGAAGATCAAAATACCTCCAAAGTTTAATAAAGCATGAAAATGTTAATAAAGTTGCAAATTTACTTGGATCTTTCTGTACCACTCATATATATTATTTCCTGAAAATATTCAAAATTTCCCAAGTAGCAAACTCAATTTCTACAGATGCTTTCTTACCTATTCGAAAGCCTGAGAACTCTCCATGTAACTTGCTGGCTATAATATCCAAAACACTTTATGTTAATCTAGCACCTCAAAAGTTGCTTTAACAAAACCTCTAATGTAACTCCCCTCAGGGACTTTTACATATTTTCTAAAATTGGAATAAAAGTTTAAAAATTCCTAAAAAATTTCGTAATATTTTATGAGAAATTAGAGAGATTTATCCAGCCATTCTCAGATCCAGGCTAGTCCTCCTTTCAAGAGATTAGTAGTTGGAGGATCTCACAAGAAGGAATATCTCTGAGCAACTTAGACTTCCTTCTTGGGGAATTTGATTTATAAGTGCTTGGTTTGGGCCTCTTGCAATGAGGATTTGACTTAGAGCATGTCTTGAACTTTTTAAGCTTGCCATTTATAGTCAGGGAATCTTTGGATATCATCTCTTTGAATGGAGCTTCCAAGCTAGCCATCAAGTCCTTTTTATGAGGCTTGCCCTTGTTGTCCCTCAGGGTGTTCTCAAACTGATGTGTTACCTTGGGCATCTGTGGCGAGCACTCGTCACTTCCTTCTCATGACACCAAGTCATCACTCCAGATATCTTTAAGAGAATGAGGTAAGCACATTTGGGAATCTGAATTCATTAAGTTAATTATTATGAAGCCTCTTCAATCATTTCTTATCAAGTTGGGGTTTTGGGGTTTTGGGGTTTTGGGGTTTTGGGGTTTTGGGG